AGTTGCACACATAGGCGGAGCGTGTGTAAGGCGCTGGCCACGGGGGTCTTGGGGCAAAAACTGACACTAAATTGGACAAAAATGCCCCTACACAAATAAATTAAATCTATTACGTCTGTTGCTAACAAAGTGTAAATGAATAGAAAGTGTCGACTGCGTATTAAATTAAGATTTGCTCATGTTGCACCGTATTTCATTTTAGGCGTTTTTACAGCGTTGCGCATTATAACCAATCACACACGATCCTGTTGAGCTTATGAATGCAATGGCCAATCAGAGGCGTTCAGATGAGTCATCGCTGAAACTAAGCAGCTTTGCTGAATGCGCGCAGGTTCGATGACTGAATTCCGCGAATTCTCTCATCATAAACAACAAAGCGCAGATGTACGCACAATGTAAGTAAGATATTCATTTCGTAGTGTAGACAGCTTCAGTGATTATAACTATTGTTTTGTTTTTTTGAGAGTGCGATAGATCAAAGTTAGTGATAATGTCATTTATGTACATAATTTATTAGCCGTTAATAATAACCGTGGGAAGGAAACGTTATACACTCTAAAAAATGCTGGGTTAAAAAGGGACAACCCCAGCTATTGGGTTGTTTTGACCCATCGGTTGGGGTGTTTTGAACCAACCGCTGGGTCAAATCAACCCAACCGCTGGGTCAAAACAACCCAATAGCTGGGTTTGTCCCTTTTTAACCCAGCGCTGGGTTATATTTAACCCAGCATTTTTTAGAGTGTATAATTATCAATTTCTAATGTTTTCATTAAACTGTAATCACATTAAATACAAATTCAGTCCCATTAAACATGTTTTATTAGCCTACATGACACCCATGTCTGGTTCTTGCCTAAAAAAGACAGGTTTATGATGTTTGTATTTAATAGATTTGGCTGCTTTTAGTCTTACCCTGGAGTTGGTTCACCCTCCGCCTATGGTTGCACATGTAATTTGTGTTCCAAACCTGTATGCATTTCTTTCTTATGTTGGACACAGAAGACAATATTTTGGGGAAAAAATGCATCATACAGTGTCAGTGGGGTCCAGTGTTCTTTAAGCAGTGTTCTTCAAAATATCTTATTTTGTGTTCTGCAGAAGAAAGAAATGTGACGACATGAGGGTGAGTAATTGGTCATTTTCATTTCGGGGTATTCCTTTAAGTTGCTCTAATTGAAATGGAATTGAAAAAGCATGTAAAACTAATGTTTAATCATTTAGCACAGACATTGTTCATTTTTATTTCATTAAAATCCTGGTACATCAAAATTAAAATATTTTCAGTTCCCACCACATTCTGTAAAATCCTGTTAAATTATTTGATAAGTCAATAACGCTCTCTGCAGGTTATAATGAGAACTTGCAGTCTAGTGATGTACAAAAACATGCATTTCATGCATAGTTTGTTTTGTCGTAATGCGTATCTGTATTTTTCTTTCCAAAATGGTCTCAGTTTTGTTAAGATGGAAACTATAATCTGGAAACTGATCGTTTCAGAGATAGAAGAGTTAGTAACAGTGATAGTTCAGAAGTCAGATCAGAAATGTCATTAATCATGAGATTTATTGGTCTTTACAAAACCAAGAAGTCTTTTGTTCAGAAACATTATTCCATTTTATTTTATATTATTTTGTATTTTATAAAGTCAATAACTTATTGGGTAGGTTAGGCCTACCATCACACGCAGTCTCTAACACGCACAGCATCAGACATTATGAACGAATTATCTAAAATCTTTATTTCATATGAAATTTTTTTTTTTTTCATAAATGAAACATTGTTTGATGAAGTGTCTTTTTCGAGTCTAATTTTAAGTCCCACAGGTGGTCAGCTAAACGTTCGTGTAAAATAAACACTAGTTCGTGTTAATGTTTATTTATTTATTTATTTATTTAGTCATTTGGCAGACGCTTTTATCCAAAGCGACTTACAAATGAAATAATGTGCTGAAATACACATTCGTACGACTGCGGAGACTATTTTCTTCAGATTTTTTTCTTCAGAGAATCTTAAAAATACCAAATTGAGGAAACGAGAAAACGCAACATCTTAGTAGGGATTTGATTGGATAACTGCCAAACCCCACTGACTTACAGCCAATCAGATACGTGTTATTTGCACGTTGCGTAATTAATATTCATAAGCCAGGTATCCACTGTCTGTTCGCAGTTATCCATATTTACCATAATAGAGCCAGATTTCTATCGTACGTTATTGTTATCCCCATCGGTGTGTATTTATGAGAAGCGTCAATACCGCTTTAGTCTCATCTAAAACATCATATACATGTTGACTTGAAAAAAGCCCTCTGGCGCTAAAATGGTTTCTTCCAGCAAAGTGAAAGTAACGGTTAAAGGAGCCATATTTTCCTCAAAGTAACTGCGTCACGTTATCCTAGCACAAAAAGTGAGTATAAAAGGTCATTTTTGATACACAGAAGCTCGCGTGATGATTATATTTGGTAGATAAACACCATTTGTAAAATGTTGTAGCCTGTCCGATAATATCGACGCGAGAGCAGCTGTGCGTTACTGTAGGTCAAGTGCGGTACGACGTCGCGAGGTTTGACGGTAACGCGGCTTAATATTATCACTAAAATATACGAGTTACGATTTTCGCTTATTGTTGTACTGCATCGTTTAAACTATTATTATCGCTCAATCACCTTTTATGCTTTGTTTTTGTTGTTTTTCGATCGTATGTTGCTGACGCCATCTGTCCTGCAGTCACCCACCTCAATGCTAATGAAATAATCATGAAAAAAACAACGAAAAATAAGAATCCTTTAAAGTAATAATAATAATAACAACAATAATAATAATATAAAAATAAAACAATACAACTCCACTGTAACAAAACCGAAGAATAGGCCTACACTACACAGCAGTCATATTTAGAAACAATAAGCGAGAACACCAGTTTCCTTTGTTTATATATATATATAAAAAAATTAAAAAAACCTGTGGGTGTGACTTCCTCACATTACATTTGGTATATTTGCAAGTTAAAGCAAATGGATCATACCAAGTAAACCCTAGTGGTAGGGGAGCAAGAATATACGAGTCAAAACCAGGAAATGGTAGAAACTACTTGTGAGCATCTTTGCTCAGACCAGTTACAATTATAAGTGAGCTTGACTTGTTCAAGAACATATTTTAATAGCCTTAGCCCATTCCTTCTGTCTTTGGTGTTTACACAAACAACATAATGGGGTGTGTTCTGACTAAATTCAATTGACTAAATAGCAACATTTACAAATACATTCAGGTTCAACATTACATGAAGCTAAATTTCTAGTTGAATTACTGTGATAGTGTTTAATGTGTCTGAATCAGTGTCTCTGTTATTTCCAGTCGGAGTCAGTAAGAGGAGATCAGACTAATCAGACGCACCAGTGCAGCTTCGTGAGGACAGAATGAGTCAAGTACAAAAAAACAAAGATGGAGATTTTTCTCCGGGATGCAGGTACTCTCATTAAAGACAACATGAAATCAAAACTGACCACTTTTACTTTGTTAATACACTTTTTCTGGTTTTATTATGAAAGACACACACCAGTTGACACACCACCAAGCCCTCTTGTTTGCTGTATTACAGTTCAGTGCAGCAGGAGAGATCAGATTCAGCAGAGCCCAGCTGTGTGTCCATGAAGAGTGACTGGTCTATAGATCCTCCACCAGAAATGAAGGGTGGAGACAGGCATAGTGTCAGGTCTTATGGTATTACCATGACTGAACTCTTGTGTTCTTTCCCAGTTTCTTAATGTTTTGATAAGCAACAGTAATATGAAAAAACGCCAATATTCAATAAATTGTGGAATTTTGGAAATCGGTTTAAATGTGTGTTGGAACAGAGTACTGCTCTCTAATTCATAACTGAAAGTATTATAAAATTAGTCACAATAATTAATAAACAAACTTGCAGGGGGTGGGTAATATGCATAACTTCATAATGTTCCAATTCTGCAGAGGGTTCACATCACAAAGACTGAATCTACGGTAACTTTACAAATTAAATGTAACCTCTGTTCTGTTACAGTTTAGCTCAGCAGATTCAGAGATCAGATTCAGCAGAGCCCAGCTGTGTGTCCATGAAGAGTGACTGGTCTATAGATCCTCCACCAGAAATGAAGGGTGGAGACAGGCATAGTGTCAGGTACACAATTACTTATGGTATTGAACTCTTGTGTTCTTTCCCAGTTTCTTAATGTTTTGATAAGCAACAGTAATATGAAAAAACGCCAATATTCAATAAATTGTGGAATTTTGGAAATCGGTTTAAATGTGTGTTGGAACAGAGTACTGCTCTCTAATTCATAACTGAAAGTATTATAAAATTAGTCACAATAATTAATAAACAAACTTGCAGGGGGTGGGTAATATGCATAACTTCATAATGTTCCAATTCTGCAGAGGGTTCACATCACAAAGACTGAATCTACGGTAACTTTACAAATTAAATGTAACCTCTGTTCTGTTACAGTTTAGCTCAGCAGATTCAGAGATCAGATTCAGCAGAGCCCAGCTGTGTGTCCATGAAGAGTGACTGGTCTATAGATCCTCCACCAGAAATGAAGGATGGAGACAGAAGGTACACATTTGCTTATGGTATTACCATGACATTTCATGTTTCTCATGGCCACCAACATTTAATAAATAGTTGGAATTTTGTTGTGCAACAATCTGTTGTGTTAAACAGAACTGAGAGCATTGTGCTTTAATTCGTAACTAAAAGTATTATTAATTTAGCCACCATACTAAACAAGCATGCAGTGGGTGGGTAATATATATAACTTCATGTAGTTCTGCAGGCACTGGTTCCATGTGGGCCTGCTCAATGGTTGACATCATAAAAGATTAATCAATTAACTTAAAAATATATATATAATTTTAAGCTGTTCTGTTACAGTTTAGCTCAGCAGAAGAGATCAGATTCAGCAGAGCCCAGCTGTGTGTCCATGAAGAGTGACTGGTCTATAGATCCTCCACCAGAAATGAAGGATGGAGACAGAAGTCAAAGTGTACATGATCGCTTACGGTATTGAACTCTCATGGTGCCTGGTTTTTATAAAATGGCAGCAACAGCAATGTAAACCGACAGGTAAAATACAAGGTTTTGATGCTGCAAAGATTCATCATATAGTTCATAATCAATGACATGATCAATAATTGTAAGGATTCACTTCATTAGACTTCTACTGTTTTTATACATGTAATAATGTAGTATTTTAATTTTACAGCCATGACGTCCTCAACACGTTTAGATCAAATCTGATGAAGAAGTTTCAGTGTCTGTATGAGGGAACAGCAAAGCAGGGAAACCCAAAACAGTCTCTGTGCAGAAGTTCATCCTGGACTGGGCTGAAGGGAAAGAGAATCAGGACGTCCAGCTCATATTTCCTCTTCCTTTCAGAGAGCTCAATCTGATGAAGGACAAAACACTCAGTCTTTCAGATCTTCTTCATGACTTTTTCCCTGAAACAAAAGAAATAGACATTTTCAGTGATGAATATGAAGTGTTGTTCATCTTTGATGGTCTGGACGAGTGCCGTCTTCCCTTAAACTTTAAAAGCAATGAGACTCTCACTCAGGATGCGACCAAAGAGACATCAGTGGACGTGCTGCTGATGAACCTCATTGTGGGGAATCTGCTTCCCTCTGCTCTCATCTGGATCACCTCCAGACCAGCAGCAGCTGATCTCGTCCCCTCAGAGTGTGTCCATCGAGTGACAGAGGTACGAGGCTTCAATGACCCACAGAAGGAGGAATACTTCAGGAAGAGAATCAGTGATCAGAGTCTGGCCGACAGGATCATCTCACACCTGAAGTCATCAAGGAGCCTCTTCATCATGTGCCACATCCCAGTCTTCTGCTGGATCTCAGCCGCTGTTCTAGAGAAGATGTTGAGTCCAGCAGAGAGTGGAGAGATTCCCAAGACTCTCACTCAAATGTACACACACTTCCTGATGGCACAGATTAACATTAAAGTCACAAAGTACAATGAGAAGAAGGACACTGACAAAGAGATGATTTTCAAACTAGGGAAACTGGCATATGAGCAACTGGATAGAGGCAATGTGATCTTCTATGAGGAAGACCTGAGAGAGTGTGGCATTGATGTGACAGAAGCATCAGTGTACTCAGGATTGTGCACTCAGATCTTCAGAGAGGAGTTTGGCTTGTATCAGGGGAAAGGCTTCTGCTTTGTTCATCTGAGCGTTCAGGAAAATCTAGCTGCTCTATATGTGCACCTCTCCTGTACAAACCACAACAGAAATGTGTTTGACCAAATCCCCAAACAGAGTTTGCGGTCAAAAAACTTGTTTCAGCTCAATTCAGAACATGTTTCATTATCTGCTCTGCATCAGAGAGCTGTGGATGAGGCTCTACAGAGTAAAACTGGTCATCTGGACCTTTTCCTGCGGTTTCTTCTGGGTCTGTCAGTGAAGACTAATCAGAGTCTTCTACAAGGACTAATGACACTGACAAAAATCAGCTCTAACAGCAATGAGGAAACAGTTGAGTACATCAAGAAGAAGATCAGGAACATATGCTCTCCAAAAAAAATCATCAATCTGTTCCACTGTCTGAATGAACTGGGTGATCATTCACTAGTGGAGGAAATACAACAGTATCTGAGATCTGGAAGAATAGCAGAAGCCAATCTCTCCTGTTTGCAGTGGTCAGCTTTACTGTTTGTCTTGTTGACATCAGAGCAAATGATGCATGTTTTTGAGCTGAATAAATTTGTTAGAAGAGAAAATACTTCAAATAAAGTTCTTCGGAAGCTACTTCCTGTGATTAAAGAATCCACATCAGCACAGTAAGTAACACAGATGATTGCTACACTGTCTAGACATTTCACTGAAAGCAGGGACGCAGGAAGATGTTTCAGGTTGAGGGTGTTGTCTGTATTTGGGGGGGGGGAGTCATGTCTAAAAAACAAGTCAAAACTCCATTAAGCACAGTGCTGACCCACGTTTCCAATGACTTAGTAGTGGTAGTAGTCTTTCTTCTAGATTTGATATTATATTTTGATATTTCATACCATAAAGTTCTGTGGGTTAACATTTAAAAGCAAAGAGTTTAAGACAGCCATGAATATTATTAATTATTAGTGAATACGATTATTATCATTACACAATTTTTTCACCCCTGATGAGTTTGCCTCCCTGAAGAAGTAATTTAGATATATAACTATCAAAATAATCAGTTCACACATAGGATATTTATGAATAAAATAATTCGATTTTACACAGATGAGACAAATTAAGGCCCTGGAACTGCTACGCAATATTATGGGATATCCGTCAATTGGATGTGTGTTGCATCACAGCAAGAGGCAATTTCAAGTTCTTTTTTACTGTTACCTTGTTAAATGTATTGTACTTAAAAAGTTTCAATCTCTACAGTTTAGAAGACTGCAATATCACAGACAAAAGTTGTACTGCTTTGGCTTCAGCTCTGAGATCAAACCCCTCACACCTGAGAGAACTGGATCTGTCTCAGAATAAAATAGGAGACTCTGGAGTGACTGCTCTCTCTGCTGGACTGGAGAATCCTCACTGCAAATTAGAGAAACTGGGGTATAATGATCTGAACGACACAGCACACTGGTGTTTTCCATGTAATGAAGCTGTTGCTAAACAGTGTTTGTTCATTGCAGATTGAGGGATTGTGGCATCACAGGTGAAGGTTGTGCTGCTCTGGCTTTAGCTCTGAGATCAAACCCTGAACACCTGAGAGAACTGGATCTGTCTGAGAATAACCTAGGACGTTCTGAAGTGCAGTTACTTTCTGACCTAAAGGATGATCCACATTATAAACTGGCGGAACTATACTATTGTGAGTATATTTTTATTTAAAGCTTTTAAATAGACTAACAGGCCTCATATACAGTATAATTGTAAAATATAAGATAATAATTCAGCTCCACTTTAGTCTCTGTACTTTAAACTTAAATAAGAGTTTAATTCTGTGATGTGTTTTCATTCATATCTCTGGCTGTAATATGAATAGTAATTGTGTGTGTGTGTTTTTTTTTAATGAATCTGATGATGTAATGTGACAGCAGTAATGTCTCATTCTCATATGTGACTGTCTGTGTTTTATTTTAGGACTCTCAGTATTTAGACGTCAGTCCAGTTTCCTCAGGATCAGCTGATGGTGAATAAGGAGCCACTACAGAGACTGCAGACCCAGTGATCACACAATGTGTTATCATTTGTGAAAAAATTATTTGTGAAATCATTTTTTTCTGTAAACTTATTTGAAAAACAAATATCGTACTTTTCACTCCACTACATTTCTATCACGGTCCTCGATGTAGAAATTCATTACTATGTAGCAGCTTTGAATGTCAGTGGGTGATTTTTTTCTTCTTCTCTAAAACATTACTTTATTTCTTTTGAATTTTTTTAGACAGCCTATCAGTAATCACTCTTGTAGGGCTACGTGAAGTGATTTCCCAGCACCTTTTTGAACACTGAACAGTTGCAAATGTGATATTTATTTACAACAATTCAGTAATAAGAAGTTAATATTGTAGTATATATTACACACAATATTGTCTGATTTTGCAAAATTGTGTAAATTTAAATATTACCTGTAAAGTCACAGAACTGTTGTGCATCTCCTAACAAAAAACAATAGGTGTTTGATTTGAAGCAGCACTGCACAGATCGTTCTGTTCGTACCAATTAGAGAGCATTTTTGAATGTTTGTTTTGATGTCAATAAATCTTGCTGTTTTGCTTTTTTGTTAAAGCAGTGTTGCTGTTGTAAAGTTATACAGCTACAGTTGTGTTGCTGGGTTTTAAAGCAGGTTTGATTTTATTTTATTTTTTAATCAGTCTGTATTTACAACAATTTCACCGTCCACTCAGTTCAAATGTGGATGAATGGCTACACGTAGATTGGTGCACACACTGCCAGAGCTGTGTGAGATCACTACCATGCTGCTCTGTGGGGGTGGGTTAGGGGTGTTAAATAATTTCTTTTTTGTTAACTCACTTGTTTAATTTCTATAGGTTTTTAACATTCTAAAAGCTCTTTACTCCAAAGATATACTACAAGATAGTCAGTGTATTCAGTAGGTGTAATGTATTGTAAGTTGCTTCAGAGGCATAAGGTATTGCAAGTATTACACACAACAAGAATAAAACATTGCATTGACATAAAAAAAAGCAAATTTACATTTGGTACTTAAGTACTTTTAAAAGCAAGTACTTCTGTACTTTTACTTAAGTAATGGAGTTGTGTACTTTGTCCACCTCTGGCTCTTTTTAATTTGCAGCAGTGGCCCCTCGGCCCCACCCAATTCTCTGAAGCTTTTGCTAGCACTTCAGTTTTACCTATCATTCATAATTGACCAACACAAATAGAATTGATCAATCTGATAAAAGACAGACAAATTAATCCAAATAAAATAAATTGTTTTATATATTTCAAAAATAAAAAGAAATTTGGCCCCAAACGAGCCAGCTGAACAGCAGTGCTCAATGTACATTCTGTACTCATACAGTAGGACTGCAGAACTTGTCCTGAGCATGTATATCAAGCTGTGTGTGTGTGTGTGTGTGAGAGAGAGAGAAAGAGAGAGTGAGTACACATTTCAGCTTATGAATGGTGTTTTATGTTGTAAGATTTTGTTGCACATTTTGATGCCTTGATGACAGGGGTCGGGGGCTCCCACCTAAAGCACTGTGGCTCAAGGCCAGCCAATTTCGCTGTCATGATGGATGATAGTGTTCCGTTCAGAGCTGAACTCTTGCTAGTTTTGGTTTTGTTCAAACCCACCGTGGAGAAACACTCTCTCTGCATCTGCATTCGAGTGGGGAAGCCACAGTGCTTTAAGTGGGAGCCCCCGACCCCTCATCAAGACATCAAAATGTGCAACAAGCACTTGCAACACAAAACACTTAATATTTAAATACTTAATATTTCATGCATAGTTTTTGTCTTAATGCATATCTGTATATATATCTGTATGTTTTAAGATGAAAATTATAGTTTTAAGATTTATTGTTTCAGTGATACAAAAGTTGGTGACAAAGTGAGTTCAGAAGTCAGATCAAAAATGCCATTACAAAATCAGAAAGTGTTTGAGACTTTTAATTCAGAAACATTATTCTATTTTATTTTATATATTATTTTGTATTTTATGAAGTCAATAACTTGGGTAGGTTACCATCACACAGTCTTTAACATGCACAGCATCAGACATTATGAATGAATTATCTCAAATTTTCATTCCATGTGATAAAAATGTTAACATAGATGAAACATTGTTTAATGAAGTGTCATTTTTCAAGTCTATCTTTAATTACCAGGTGGTCAGCTAAACGTTCGCGTAAAATAAACACTAGTTCGTGTTAATGTGCTGAAAAACATTCTTACGACTGCGGAGACTCTTTTCTTCAGATTTTTACCAGAGAATCTTAAAAATACAAAATAGAGGAAATAAGAAAAGGCAACAAATTACTAGGGATTTGATAGGATAACTGCCAAACCCCACTGATTTACAGCCAATCAGATACGTTCTAGGTACACTGCGTAGGCTAATTAATATTCATAAGCCAGGTATCCGCTACAATGTAGCGTTTGTATATATTCGCTGTGATTACTATCGTACATTGTTATCCCCATCGGTGTGTATTTATGAGAAACGTCAATACCGCTTTAGTCTCATCTAAAACATCACATACACGTTGAATGGAAAAAAGCCCTCTAGCGCTAAAAATTTTTTTCCATGTTGATATCAATAGAGACAAAAGTGAAAGTAAGTTACAGGAGCCATTTTATCCTCAAAAATAACTGCGTCATGTTGTCATAGCATAAAAAGTGAGTATCAGTTGTAATTTTTTGATACACAAAAGCTCGCGTGATGATTATATTTGGTAGATAAACACCTTTTGTAAAACGTTGTTAAGCCTGTGTCCGATAATATCGACGCGAGAGCAGCTGTGCGTTACTGTAGGTCGAGTGCGTCACGACGTCGCGAGGTTTGACGCTAACGCGGCTTAATATCATCACTAAAATATACGAGTTACGATTTTCGCTTATTGTTGTACTGCATCGTTTAGACTATTATTATCGCTCAATCACCTTTTATGCTTTGTTTTTGTTGTTTTTCGATCGTATGTTGCTGACGCCATCTGTCCTGCAGTATAACCTCATCCACTTGTTACTTTCTCCGCTTCAGCGATTTCCGGCGGCAGCGTAACAGCTCGTCAATTCATGTTCGTGCAAGGGAAGAGACGGACAAAATTACCGATGCATGCCATTTTTTTACTCGTTCTCATGTTGTCAGGTTCACAGTGCCAAACAGCTCCCGGGTGGACTGATTTTACTTAACTTGTAAGCGGAATACAAACTTT